CCTCCCCTTCTCCTTTCTCTTACTTTCTTTTCTTCTGCCTGCCCTCCCTCCCTTTCTCCTTTCCTTCTAACCTCCCTCCCTTCCTCCCTCCCTACTTCCTTCCTTGTGGTTTTAAGGCCCTCTCTCATAATATACTGAACCCATTCACTTGGTTTCCAAGTTTACAGTTGTGGTTTTATTTGTAGCATTTTCTTCTTCCCTGAGGCATGCTGTGAGGTAGGAGCAGGCTGCCTATTGCAGTGAGTTGAGTTGTGAGGCACTTGTAAGGCCCTCCTGCTGTAGCTGCTGGCTAGAATTGGTGTACGTACTGGAGCCAGCACCTATTTCTTCCTATTTCTTCCTAGTATGTATTTTAAGGGGATGAGGGTATATTCTGGAGTGAGTTGTTATTGGAACTATCCTTACATTAAAGGTGATGAGAGCATGAATCGTGAACTCTAGCTTTCCGTTGAAAGCACCATTCTTGAATTGAGAGGTTCTGTGGTGTCTGGTAAGGGTAACTTTACCAGCCGTGTGGAGAAGTACATACTCTCTCAGGTGAAGATGTGCCGAGCTATTCTGTTTGGGTAAACTGAACGGTGACTTGCGGCAGCCGTGTGTCAGGTGGTGCCCTGGATGACTCTGTGCTCCGTTTCCCTTCCTCCCAGGTGCAGCAGTGGCCGGCATCTACAGAGTGGCTGGGAAGAACATGGCCCCCCTGGAAGCCCTGGTGTGGGGCGTGGGGCAGACTGTACTGACACTTATCATCTCCTTTTCAAGGATCCTCGCGACACTCTGAGTTCTGAGGGAATGTCTTCTTCACTAAGGAAATGGATGTACAGATTCCCGGAAATGTATTGTTAACCAGCTGAAATGAAATGGTACAAGCAGGGACCCAGGAAGTCAACACCTAGGGCAGACCTTGAGCTGTGTGGAAAGCCTGCCCTCTGGCGTCCAAGCGATTGCACTACCGCACTGCACCTCATGTGCCTCCATCCCGGGCAAGGTGCACAAGACTCTGAAGCTGCAAGAAGAAGCACCTTGTTTAGCTGCCGATCAGGTTAACATTGGTGTTGAAGTCATCATTCTCAACAGTGTTGTGTTCAGTTACAGGAGCGTTTTGAGAAATTGATCTATGTGCCAAACTTTCCTTTCTTTTAACATTGATCATGTGACAGTTTGCAAGTGTAGATGTAGGTGAGTGTTGTCAGTGTACTTGACGTGGATTCAGGTCATGTCAGGCTTTGTTTTGTCACGTTAAATCCCATATGAATGTCGGATGGTGGGCTTTCAGTACTAAGGAAGTGTTTGCTTTGTGAAGCTGAGTATTCCTGGGACTTGGGGCTTTAATATGTCTGTGTGTTGTTATTTAATTTATGTGAAAACCACTAGTCTCCTTAACGGAGGACTAGCTGAGCTGTTCTACGGACTCAGATAGACTTGTAGGGTGCATACGTTTCAGTAACCTACACCTTTCATAGTTTCTCTCATATCATATTCTACTTACATGGATCAAACCTTTATGAGTCAGACATATTGTCACTTGTGTGTCATAAAAACATAATTTACATTTTTCTTATAAATTTTGTAAGGAAAAGTCTGAGATGCATGTTGCATTCTTTAACCCTTCTGAAGGTTTTTGCCTCCTCTGTCACGGAGCACAAACCTTCCAGTTCATCGCAGTGAGATTGTGTGTGCTGTGTACGTGTCTTGGACGTCTCTGATTCTGGAGTACTAACTGCTTAGAGAGTGGCCTAAATTAGGCTCTGAGGTTAAGAATGCTTCATTTATAGAAAAACAGTAAGTACCTGACATAGGAAGAGCAGTAAACTGTCTCACTCTGTGTGGCAGGGCTAGAATTACACTTGGCAAGACTGGGGCACTGAGTGGGTCGTTTTCAAGTTGTCAGTTTGTCTGAGTATAGCAAGACAGTGCAGAACCTTTATCTAAGTGGGATGTTAGTCGTATGATTTAAGTTTGTGTTTCTAAGTTATTACCTGAGTCACATTCATTAACAGTAGAAATATACTTTGTTTATAAAAACTTTAGGAGGTTTAGAAAAACACACAGTTGTTTATTACAAATGCTAGAAGTTGGGAAAGTATAGTCCCTGGTTGAACTCTGTGTGTGTGTGTGTGTGTGTGTGTGTGTGTGTGTGTGTGTGTGTTAACCAGTTTTAATTACAAATATGCTAGCTTAAGGGAAGATCCATTGTAGAAATTATGAATTTATAGGTAATCTAAAATATAGTATAGCACCTTGAGCTCTTTAACTTAATTTGGTTTAAGACTTTTATTATCCATACCCCCTTTTCTCTAACAAAAAGAATATATTATCAGCCTTTGGAGGAGCTGCTTTTGCCAGTGCATCAGCCAACTTAGACTTACTAATAATGTGACTTGGACATTTAACAACCCAAAAGTCAACCAATAAGCAAACCTTAGAGATGTCAGAGAACAAGTCTGAAATTGATTTCTTCCGTTGTCCAGGCCTACTGTTCTTCCCACTCATTCTTTGTATTCTTGCTGTTTTCTAAACTTAAACTAAATAAGCATCTTTTCCAGATAACCCTGATTCTCCTCTCCTGTTTGGCTGGCTTCTGCTCTTGTCAGCAACTCAGAACTTTGTGTGCCAGCGTGAGACTTACTGTCACTGACATTGCCTGTGTACAGAACAAATATTTATTTTAACATGGTTATTTTATGATCTAAGAAAATTATCGTGTTGAAGTAATATGGAGCCCATTGTTCAAATCTAAAACTAACTGAAAATTAACTTGACACATGGAATATGTGAATGAACGGACCAAAGAGATTTGAGCTTGTTTGTGCTCTAGGATGAAAGTCTAAAAGGGTTAATTACCACTTTATCGACTGTCCTACAGTCATCTCATTGTCAAGCTAATTTGCATTAAGAATTGTGTTTGTGTGTGCGTGTGCACTTTTAATTTGAGGAGCATTTTTAGTTTCTTCAGTTATTTCTATTGGGATTTTGTGTAACTATCACTCTTGGTATTTTGAAATACAGTTGTGTAGTGTGGATTTATGAAACTGTCTATATATCTATTTATATGGTGAAATTTTCAAGAAGCTGTTTCTTATAGAGACAAAGTGTTTAATGATATATATATATACACACAAGTATATCATTATATACATATATAGATAGCTATATATGAATACAGTCTGATTGGAAAGCTTTCTTTGATGAGCATTTTCCTGTTCTTCTGGAGAAGTTGGATATATTGTTCAGTTAAATGATCCTTTAAATAGACTGGAGAGTATCTAAGGTTTTTGCTGGAGACCCCTGTTTTGGACCTGACAGAAGCCCTCACTGACGTAGTTAGTTCCATTTCCTTAAAAACTCAGCCATGGATTAGCAGTACATTTTTGGTTTTAGCACCACAGCCTCATGTAAGCTAAGAGTGAAGCCTGATAAATGTTCCCAGGAAGGAGGTGCAGGACATGGGCCCTGACACAGTTTTGTTGGCTTCTCAGGAGACAGAGTTAACTTACATCCTCCCTGCAAATCATCCAGTGTGAAAGTCTTACCCAGGATCCTTGTTCAGTATTTGCAACACAGAATTCCATGACTCCTTTTCTAAGGCTTCAGGGGGTTTGTTTGTGAAAGAAGGGAAATAAAGTATGTTGTGAAGAACAAGGGAATGCTGTAGGAAACAGTGCTTCCAGCACCTTCCATTTGCACTGCAGAAAGCTGGGTGGCCTCTTTGAGATGCCCAGGCTGGTACTTGCTACCTGGCTCAGTTTGCTGAGTTCTGTTTTGTGTGTTAGGATCTCCTGTGTACTAGGATGGCTAAAATAGGATTCAATCCTTCAGAGTCTACCAGGAACTGGACAGACAATTTCAAACCCTAAAAACGGTTGGGATAGTTCCTTATTGCTTCCTGAGACTCACCCTTTCTCCCTCACACGACCTCATTTTTCTTTTTCCATTTCATCCTCTGAATTGAACATTTCAATGTCTTACATGTTGCTATGAACTAGGGAACAAGGACCAGACTCTAAGCCAGTGGGGACAGGCTGGAGTCCATGCTCTGTCACTTGGTTCACTTTGGTCTGAGCATCATTTAACCACTCATAGCTTCAGGTCTCACTTCGAATTAATTAATACCTCCTGTAGGTAAACAGTATGTGTCTGACAGTAAGTGCTCGAGTCAGTCAGTAGAATTCTAACTTTGTATTTGCCATACCCATTGAGATGGACTTTTGTGAAATTCACCATCATCCGTTTCTAATTTTTTCTGAAAAATTTAAGAAAAAAACCTTTTCATATAATTTTACATTTATCACCTCCTTTTGCCTCTTAAAGTCAACAGATAACTTTTCTAAGGAGACTTTGGGGAGTTGATGGTTGTAGGTGTGAAGGGTGAACAGGAATACAGGAATACATTGCAGGTTCTGGTCACCACTGGTTAATGTAGAAAGAATGGGTGTGGCCAGCATTTCCTCCTCCACTGCCATTTCCTACTGCTCTGTTTTGGTTTGACTCAGAACATTATTGACTGGGTCCCATATGCAAAGTACTGCCCCTGTATTCATTCCTGCCCTTCTTGGTCATCTGTCACTGTGAGCATTTGACTCTGGCTTTTGTCTCTGTCACTGGTGTGTTCCCTTCCTCCCTCCCTCCCTCCCTCCCTCCCTCCCTCCCTCCCTCCCTCCCTCCCTCCCTCCCTCTCTCCCTCCCTCTCCTAAAAACAATACCACTATTATAAACCTGAGTAAGCAGGCTGAGAGCATTTTCTGAAATGTCTATAGACAACAGTGTGCTTGCTGTCGAAAACATTTCTTAAGAATGTCTCAAAACAGGCTTTGGAAACATCTCTATTTAATCTGTTTAAAAGACATAAAGAGTATGGAAACATTACTGAGGAGTTTCTGACGATGGCTTTAGAGTACAGGGAAGTATGGTAGCATAGGGTGAGTGTTACTGGGTAGACTACTGTTTCTTTTTAAAATCGGGGGCTATTTTTTCAGTGGTTAGACTTGACAGTCATCCAGTAGTCTCCTAATTATCCATAATTTCCCATCCCTTGAAACTCTTCAGGATATAAAAGACATTATTCAATTTTTAAAATGTAATGTTTTTTAAATGTATAATACCATTTGTAACAGAGGGAAATTCAAAGGGGGAAAATTGTTAGAGAGGCTAATACACAAAAACATATATGAAAAAATTCTCTGTGTTATGCAAGCATAATTCCTCCATCCTGATAGAAGTTTGCTAATGCCTTGCTCTAGTGGATGTGGGCTCTACAAAACATGTGTGCTCACAGTATATTCTGTGTGTGGTGGATTTGTCCTTGAAGGTCCCTGTTTTCTGTAGTGATCCAGTGTGGTGGCTTTGTTTCTGAATTTGCCTACCTTAGAATATAGCTAGAATCTGTTTGGGAGAAACTAATGTTTCCTATATGAAGTGTTTTCAGTAAGCAAGGTGCTGCACTGGCTACCTCTTTATGAGGGTAATGGCAGCGCTCATCTTTCTGAGCAAGCTGAGCTGTGATACAGAATCATTTCTTAATTTAAGAGATCAACCTTTTCACTTTCACATGTATGGCTCATGTGTTGAACATACATAATGGCCTTTTTGGTTTTCCAAACTAATTTATTTAGCAGTTTCTCTAACAATCTCTGTCCTTTCCAAAGCAGGTGTCATATATCCTAACTTAGATGTGTACAGTTCTTGACAGAAGCTGAAGTGCTGGTCTGGAGAGACTGTTGAGTGCCCGTGTATATGCTGTGGTTATCTCATTGAAAAGGATGCATTAACGACACGGGCTGGGGTGAGGGATAGGCAGACAGTCCATGAGATGCTCCTGTCTTCCTTTCGATGCTAGCCTATGCCTACACCTGGTGTGTCTAGGCTCGGTGATACAGCCCTCCCCTTTTGGGGAATGCCTAGGTCTACACTTCGATGCTGACCATCTGCACCCCATAAGCAGAGTTCCTCCTAGACGTGGACTGGGGATTCTTTTCATGACATTAACTTGTTTAAAGGCTTGTCTAAATGAACAATAGCTTGGGAGTGCTACTGATGTTTAAAGGTTTTGGTTTAGGTCTTGAGATAGAGTCTCACTCTGTATCCCAGACTGGCTTTGAACTTGTGATCCTTCTGTCTCAGCCTGTCAGGTACCAGGATTGCAGGTGTGTACCACTGTGCATGGCTCCTCCTTTTTAAGTCAAAATGTTTATGTTTCATCACTGAAAGTGCTTGGGAGGGAATAGAAAGAAAAAAATCCTCTTGTTGGAATAGTTTTTTTTCCCTTCGTGCTTATGATAGTAGATATGTTTTCCATGAAGAAGTTTAGAAACGCCCTCACTCTTCCCTATATACACCTTTAGTCATGAGTTCTACCTGTTTAGAGAAGCCAATAGAAAGGTCTCCTGAGCTCATTGTAGCCCTGTCATCTGGCAGACGGCCACTGTGGTTCTAGCCTAAGCATCAGCCCCTGCCTTAAGATGTCCCAGGATGAGGTAGCAGCTTTAGTTACGCACTAACGTGACTTTAAGTAGCACAAGTGCAGCCCAGCCAGCAGATACTAAGAAACTAACTTATCAGCCCACTGAGGAGCCATTGAGCTAGACCACAGTATAATTTTTTTAAAAGCTAAATGGTATCTCAGTGCCTTGAAAGTTAAGAACCTTTTGCAAAGTGGACCTAGGGAGGTCTGAGGTTTGGCACCAATGAGCTGGCTTTGTGCACACCATCTGCAGAGAGATTCCAGAGCTTAGGGTGGGCCACTGAGACAAGTCCAGCCACTTACTTTTTACAGTTCCATAGAAATTAGCCACTGACTATGGCAGATGACAACTGCTTTTACCATCCTTCACCACATGGGGGCATTTTCCTCTTTTCCTCTTTTTTTTTCTTTCTTTTTTTTCCAAGTAAGTATGAAATTAGAAAAATGTACTCAGACAAATTAAACGTGAGCTTTTCAAGTTGAGTTTTATGTAAACTAGAGATTCCTGTGTGGACAGTGTTAGTTTAATATTGTAGTACAAAGGCAGACACTTTATGTAACCTTTAGAAATATGTTTACCATCAGGGATTTATTTTTACAATAGAAATACTGAATGTACTGTGAAGCTTAAAGACAGGAAGAATAGATGACGCTGGAGGGTGATACTCAGACAAAAGTGTGTTTGATGAAGTACCCGAGTTATGTGAACACGATTTCCCCTTCTGTTAAGACTATAAACTACACTGTATGAGTATGTGTATTGCATGTTTACATAAAACAATTTCATTTTGAAGGATTATTTAAGCTATGTTTATATGTAATACCTAACAGGTTGTAAATAGTGTATACTATTGATTTTTAATTTTATATGAGCGATTTTTTTATTTCCCAAGTCCTGTACAAATTTCATTGTGTATATAGCATAACTCCCTGGAGACACACATTTTGCAGTGAATTTTAAGTATTTTAATTGCAGTAAGCATCAGGTTAGCCTCAGAGATGCTGGTCCTTATTTTAAATTATTTTTCACCACACATTTTCTTCAAAGGGCAGCAATAAACATATGCAAGTTATTTTGATTCTTGAAAGTTGGCCTCAGAAGACAAGAGTGCAGTTCAATTCACTGCTGTCGAGGAAAGATGCACAACTTACACCATCCGCGTCTGGTCCCAGGACAACTTCCGAGATCCATCTTCAATGGCTCTCCTCTTTGTACTATACAGGGTGAACTGCTGAAAACACACAGAACATCTGTTCAAGTGAACCCAGCACTTCAGTGTCATTACACAGAATTTATTGGATTAAAGTTTGTAATATACAGTATTTTAATAAAGTTTCTGTATTCAATTTCATGCACTTATATATAAATAAACCTGTCTTTAAAAACTTTATACAGTGCTGAACTCTTGGCTTGTTTCCATTCTGTCTCTTCTCACCTTGTTCACAGTGGGCTCACTGTGTTCTCATAGTCCAGTGAAGTGGCATGGAGGCAGTTTGCCTGGCATCTGTAAGATCCTAGGTTCAATCCCTTGTTCCACAAAAGCTGTAGAAAGTACAACTACATGGCTTCTCTGGGTCTTTCTTCTGTCAGGGTTCTCTGGGCCGGTTCCACCTCTGGACTTTAAAAGTGTTGAAAGGGTCAAGCAGCAAATTAGAAGACAGTTTAGTCAACTTTATATTTGCCAGTAGCCACTCTTGTCTTAAACCAATCCTGGGCCACATAA